TGGGGGGCGGGGAGGGGGGCGTTGGACGTTTTTGGGCGAGGAATCGTGGGATGGGGGGTCCCAAGAACGGATGCAATCTGGGGTGGGGATGTCGGGGCCAGGTGGGGGGCGGGGAGGAGGGCGTTGGACGTTTTTGGGAGAGGAATCGTGGGGTGGGGGGTCTCAAGAACCAGAGGCAATCTGGGGTGGGGATGTCGGGGCCAGGTGGAAGGCGGGGAGAAGGGCGTTGGACGTTTTTGAAAGGAGGCAATCTGGGTTGGGGACGTCGAGGCCAGGTGGGGGGCGGGGAGAGGAGCCTTGGACGTTTTTGGGAGAGGAATCGTGGAGTGGGGGGTCCCAAGAACCAGAGCAATCTGGGGTGGGGATGTCGGGGCCAGGTGGGGGGCGGGGAGAAGGGCGTTGGACGTTTTTGAAAGAGGAATCGTCGGGTGGGGAGTCCCAAGAACAGAGGCAATCTGGGGTGGGGATGTCGGGGCCAGGTGGGGGGCGGGGAGGGGAATGTTGGCGGTTTTGGGAGAAGAATCGTGGTGTCGGAGCCAGGTGGCAGTTTCGGGCGAGAAATGGTCGGGTGTAGTATCCAGCCCAGAAGGATATCGCACACGCCTCTGGGGTCGGCGGATTGGCATTGTTACGGTTTTTGTTCTACGTGTCTAAAGCGTTTTCAAAACAGTTGATACGCATTGTTTAACAATGCCGTCTACGACGTTCTCGGTTCCATCTCCTGGCGTGCAGTCCTCCCTCTTTTTTGTCTTGCTCCTTTTGCTCTTCTCTACCCCTCGGTGCTGGCTGGGCCTTCGGGTCTCCGGGCCCGATGGCCGAGTTCACTTCCTGGGGCCATCGGGCCTCGGGGCCTGTTTCGGGCCGGTGTTAGACCGTGTTGGAGCGTTTGATTGTTTTGCGTTTTTAGCACTGAGAGGCAGAACGGCGCCATACACAAAAAAAACAGGAGCGAAGTCAGCAAGGAAGACAAGGAACAGCCTTCGACCAGACAGCAAAACACGCGAACAGCATCGGGCCTACACACGCTAGAACAGCTGAGCTAGAAACGCTAAAACACCGATGCTTGTGTTGTTATAGCGTTTAGCTTCTCAGGGCGGCATACTTTTAACAGAAAAGCAGCCCCCCCCCAAGAAAAACAACAGAGAAAACGCCCTGGGCGTTTTCAAGAAGAACAACGCCTCTCCCTCTTGCTCCTTAGGTATCCTCTTCTTCTGCCTCGCTCTATCCTGCTGTGCCTCGCCCATCTCCTTTTCATCCTCGTCCTTCGCCCTTTACATGCCCCCCTCCCGTCCCTCCTAACCGCCATGGGTCTTTAATGCTGCACCCCCCTCTTGCCAAGAAAGCTCCCAGCTGGCAGTAGAACTCGTTCTCCCTCTACAATTACTCAATATGAATATACTCTCCCTCTTCCCCGGATGGCGTCCGGGTGATGGCCGCGCACCCTCCGCGTATTGTTTTTTAAAACACAGGATGCCCGGGGAATCCGGGGAAACGACTCTCGCTGAGGCGCCGGCTTCATTTCTGCTCCCGAATCATTCCCCTGATGGCGTCCGGGTGATGGCCGCGCACCCTCCGCGTACTGTTTTTTTACACAGGATGCCCTGGAAATCCCGGGAAACGACTCTCGCTGAGGCGCCGGCGTCGTTTTTTCCCAAAATGCTGCTCTCGTTGAGGCGCCGGCCTCATTTCTGCTCCCGAATCGTTCCGAATCGTGCTCCCGCTGCAGCGTGGGCCTCATTTTCGGATCGGTGTTTGGCCTCCGTCGTTCAGGATGGCGTTCTCGCCCCAGCGCGGGCCTTTTTCTCGCGCGCCCATCCGCCCGCCACCACCGCGCCGCACCGCCACCACCACCACCACCACCACCACCACCACCACCACAACCACCACCAGCACCAGCACCAGTACCAACACCACCACCACCAGCACCACCACCACCACCAGCACCACCACCACCACCATCACCACCACCACCACCACCACCACCACCACCAACCACCACAACCACCACCAGCACCAGCACCAGTACCAACACCACCACCACCAGCACCACCACCACCACCACCAGCACCACCACCACCACCATCACCACCACCACCACCACCACCACCACTACCACCACCACCACCACCACGACAACCACGCACACACGCACGCACGCACGCACGTGCACCACCACCCACTACGCACGCGCGCGCGGAGCCACAGGTCCGCTACGACACGCGTCCGCGGATAGAGAAAATCAACGCCATGGTAAGGGATGGGAGGGAGGGGTAGGACGTCAGATATGACGCGAGCGCACCTAGCTTGACTCGTCCCTCCCCTCCCTGCCCTCCTCCTCCTCGCTCTCCCTCCTCGCCCCCCTCCTCGTGCTCCCTCTCCTCGCCCTCCCCTCTCGTCCTCCTTCTCCTCGTCCTTCCCTCCTCGCCCTCCTCGCTCTCGCTCCTCGCCCTCTTCCTCCTCCTCCTCCTCCTCCTCCTCCTCCTCCACTCCTTTCCTTATAATGAATTTCACCCTGTCGCACCCCGAGGCCAATTTTTAGTGCTGGCCGGGCGTTCCGCCTGAGACTTCCTCACCACCTGTGATTCGGACGCTTACAAAGTGGCAACAGCTTCACAGATGGAGGGCGGGTGGTTTTCAAAATGTGGCTCTCGCCGTCGCGTCGCGCACATTCGTTTCAAACATTTTTGCAAGAGCTTCACGGATTGATGGAGGGTCGTTTTCAAAATGTGGTTCTCGCTTTAGCGCCGCGCACATTCCTTTTCAAATTTTGCAAGAGCTTCAAGGATTGAGGGCGTGTCGTTTTCAAAATGTGGCTCTCGCTTTAGCGCCGCGCACATTCGTTTTCAAACTTTGCAAGAGTTTCGCGGAATTCCATGATCAACGTAGCGGAAATTGCGTTTTGGAAGGATTCAGGATTATGCGGGTGGGCAAATTCTGTTGGTTCGCGGTGTTGAAATCTCGAAAATGGGTTTCTGGCACGATTTCGGATCGTCAAGACGCAGCAGTCAGGTTGATCCGTGGCGTTGAAATAGAGTAACAATTTTTTGGCAGAGTTCAGGGTCTTGAAACGGTCGTCTTCCAACGAGGCAGCTCCCTCAATGGAACTGAACCGTTGTAGGGGCCCATGAAGAGGGAGCTTGGAGGGAGGGTTAATTCCAACATCGTTGATGACTCTTGGGTTTGCACTGCTCCTTCTCCTCCTCCTCCTCCTCCTCCTCCTCCTCCTCGTGCTCCCCATCCCTAGGAACCCTCCCTCCCTCGCACTTCCTTAGGACTGTTCCTCCGCCTTCTCCTCCTCGCCTGTGGGTTGTTGTTGGCTAGTTTTTTCTCCAGGCGGATTGTGCTCTCTGGTTTCTGGTCAACTCTGCACGACAAAAGATTGTTGAGCTTGTTTGTACAAGGATTGCAAGACAAGTCGCTACATCTCCAATCGAGTCGGCGCGTCGTCTTCGTCGTCGCCGTCGTCGTCGTGGTCCTCGTCGCGCTCGCCGTCGTCGTCATATGTGGGTCGTGCACACAATCGTGCGCATTAGGAGCTCGTCATACTTGTGGTGAGCATGGTTGGTGTGCGCCGCGCGCGCAGCTATATGTCTACTATTGTTCGCTTGTTTGGTGGTTATTTCTCCCGGCGGATGCTACTTTCCAGGCTACCTGCACGACAGAGAAGGCTCCTGCTTGAAAGGATTGAAAGATAATTCTCCACATCTCCAATCGATTGGACGCCGTGTTCTCGTCGTCGTCGTGATCGTTCTCGTCGTCGTCTTCACATGGGGGCGGGACCTTATGAATCCGTAGGAATAATGCGGGATCCTACGGGATCTTGAGGATCCCTAAGGACCCCAGCTGTGGCCGCCGCGGGTGACAAATTAGGTTCCCACGATTGCTTCTGGTCCCAATCCGTCAATAAAGCCGCGCCAACAATAACGAGCTCCCATTATTCAGCGGGGGCTTTATTTAAGACCCATCTGGGCGAATGCTCCCCTATCCCTCCCTCCTCCCCTCCCGATCCCACCGCTCTCCTCCCCCTCCTCCTCCTCCTCCTCCTCCTCCTCCTCCTACTACTACTACTACTACTACGACTACTACGACTACTACGACTACTACTACTACTACTACTACTACTACTACTACTACTACTACTACTACTACTACTACCACCACCACCACTACTACTACTACTACTACTACTACTACTACTACTACTACTACTACTACTACTACTACTACTACTACTACTACCGTTCTCCAGGCAGCGGCGTCCGCCTCCTGCATCGCCTCCTCCATGTCTCGCTCGCTCACGGAAGCTGACATTCTGTCGTCGCGCCCGTGGTGCCCAGGATGTGGCCCAAGCTCGACCTTGGTCACGTGCGCTGCCTCCCTCCGGCGCAATCGCGCAACGACGCTCTCGGGGTATCGAGCAGCCCTTAATCAGAGGAGCAAGAGGCAATGACACTGATGCGTTGCAAGATTCCCCAGACTTCCCGCATTTCCGAGTGAGTTCCGCACGGGCTGCAGAAACGAGGGCTCGCAGATATCCCAGAATTCTTGGTACGTGTTCTGAGCCAATCACATCCTGACATCGAGCTCGTCCTACTGCGTTTGTTCAGGAATTTGCACAGGAGGCGTCAGACCCTGGAGGATTCCTGATCTGGTGAGGGCGGTGGCGTTGTTGTTCCAACGGCTTCCAGACCCTGGATTCCGTATCAAAGGGTTCTTTCCTGGAAAAAGTAAGACTCGAGTGCGCCAGAACTCTAGTTTGCCGACGCGTTTCGACGAGCGCGTCCTGGACTTTGACAGTCCAATTTTCACGGGACGCCTGCAGCGGGATTTCTCGTCAAATTTCAGACTGGGCCACGTCATGTTGATGATGCCCCCGCCAGGCCAACCCGAGTCCCCCGACCCCGAGTCTTACGTCTCCCCGATCCTCATCCAATGCCCTTCGTTTTCTTCGAGATGCTCGCCCCCACTCCTCCTGCGTGCTGCCCCTCCTCGCCGTGCAGGGCGGTGGGCTCTTCGGCGCGGCGCCCCAGTCGCAGGGCGGCCTGTTCGGCCAGCCGGCGACGTCCGGAGGAGCTTCCCCCCCTTGGCTCTGTCGTCACCTGTTCTGCCGGCGCCCTTCGCGAGTTGCGAACATCCCCGTAATTCAAGCAGTGGCGAAGCGCCTTGCCGTGCCTATAGGCCTACCAAACAATGTTCTAAGAACCTTTTGTGGTTTTGACGAAATGTTCCTAGAACATGTCTGGCTGCGACTGTCTTGTTTTATCACGTCGGGTTTGCGTTCTAAGAACATTGTTTGTGTTATTAGAACATCTTTGGGTTCTAGGAACATGTCGTGGTAGGCCTATAGGAATGCCGGGACGGTTGGTCCCTGCTCAAGTAACTATCCGCGCCCTCGCAGTCTGGATGCTAGAGCGCGACCCCGCGGAAACGCGGTGGTCTCGCGTTCTTGGAGGATGCGATTCTGTCCTACAACCTCGTCAGAATGAACCTCAAAAATGTCCTCCGTGGCTGAATTGCTTGTGGGGAGATACTGGACATAGTAGCGGTGACTGCGAGGTACTTGTATGCGCCGCCCCTCCAATGTCGGTCATCATCGAACTTCTGAGTCTTTCCTAGCCAGACCAATTCTGCTCTGGCCCCGACCTTGTAGGGGCGTTCATCGACATTGAAGGGCGCGCCGACATCGAAGTGGCGCGTTCGCCATTTATGAGGTTAATTTTGACGGGGGTGGTAGGTCCAGCCGTAACTCGAGTCTCCGGCGGCCGTTCGGGGCGAGCCGGGCACCCCCAGAACGTTCTCGGCGAGGCTCAGCCGCTGGAAGGCACCACTCGACTTAAGTCGGGTCCCTCTACAGGAGGGAAATTCAAAAATAGTTAAAAGATAGTCAGGTGATTTTGTTTTCATTATTTTTGAGCATTTGGGAAGTATTGTTGCTCGTATGTTGCAAACTCATCGCCCAAAATCCCACTGTAGGGGGACAGGCCCGACCTAACACTAGGCTGGAAAGCTGTTCGGATCCGCTGAGAACGTCCGAACACCTTGAACCTCGAACCTCCCTGGGTCTATCTTCACCTTTCGTTGCCCCTTCCTCGTCCCTGGGAGCCCCAGAGCAGTGCGAAAAGGTCGGGCACTTTTTTGTGGGCCAGAGTCACCCACACTGTGGTCAGAATAACAGAAACCATCACAACGGAGCTCCAGCAGCACATCATATGATGGAAACCATGCCCCCTACCACCCACCCCGTCACCACGCTTTACCCCCAGTGCACCAGCATCCCTCATACCTCCATCCTCCCCGCACCATCTGACATCCTCCCCGTCTCCCCATCCCTTAGGGCGACGAGATCTATACATTTCCACCGCCGCTGGCCACGCCCATCCTGGGACCAGGAGCGGTGTACGTGTGTGTGTATATATATGTGTGTGTATGCCTCCTGGGCCAAGCCACGGAGGCGCATACACTGCTCCTGGGCTCAGGATTGGCCTAGCTGGCGGCGGTGGATATGTACCCAGACCCCGACGTCATGATTTTTCCATAAGGTCGACCCCGCAGGTCCCGACCCATTCTCAGGACCCGTTTTTCAGTGCGAGCCGTTTTTCGACGGCCCCGATGCCAGGTAACCCCAGAAATTGAAAATAGGAAAAACAACGGAACAAAACAAAAACACGCCCGTCGTGTTTTCGTTCATGACTCGAGTGGGTCTGGGTCTCTCGATGCGATTGTTCTGTAGCAAACCAAGGGAGCCTTGCATACCCTCGCACTTCCGTCTGTTGAGCGTAATCGCATCGAGTAGCGTCTGGTAAAAAAAAGGTAAGAGAGCGCCAATCTGGCGTCGAATAGGGTCGATTAGCGTCGACGAGCGTCGACTCGCAAGAGCCAACAAGAGCCCTTCATTGCCCCCCCTCCCCCTCCCCCCCCTGGATAACCTAACTTTAAGTCGGGCGTGTCCCTCTACAGGAGAAATATTCAAAACATGCTCAGGGAACTATGTTTTGAGTATCTGTGCCATTTTGGTGTATTTTTTTGGTATTCTTGATTTGTCGTCCAAGATCCGTCCGTAGGAGGACATGTCCGACCTAAACCTGACCTTGTCGGTTGCGCAGGTCCGAAAGGGGGTACACGGTACTGGTGCATGCGGGCGCACGTGGGGCTGCCCCAAGCGAAAAGGCCAGATCGACGGCCTGCACCTCCCCCACCCCCCCATTCCCTCCCAGATAGCCTGGGCGATCTCCGAACAGTTACATTTCTCCGACGGTAGGGCCCCGCGTGAGAATATCCTTAGCTTGCCCATCGCCCTTTCCCCCTTCGACTGGCTCATGCCCTCCTCCCGCTTCTGCGTCCTCAGCTTCATCATCATTGTCCTCCTCGCCCTGCCCGTTACATGTGTTATCCTCCTCCTTTTCCTCCTCGTGCCTCCCTTCCTCATGTTCCCCCTCCTCGTCCTCATCTTTTCCTCCTCCTCCTCCACCTTGTCTTCCTTCTCCCCCTCCTCATCTCCATTCCGCCTGGTCTCCTCATGCACTTCTCCTTCCTCCTGGCAGGGCCGCGCATGTCGATTTTCCTCGGCTCCCTCGCCGCCACGCCCGGCAGGGGCGCGTTTTCCGACTGCAAAATCGCGAAGCCGTTTGGACAACCTTGCGGGCCAGGCCGTTGGGACAACCCCGCGAGCCGCTAAGGCGCGGGGGCAAGCCGTTGGGACAACCCCGCAGGCACCGAGCTAATCGCGGCCGCGCCCAGGCGGGAGGCAGCACGAAACCCAGCTCTGACGCGAACTGCTCCGCCTTAGCCCTGCAGCTCGCAGCCTGCTTGTCGAACTCCACGAGCGCCTTCCGCAGTGACGCCAGCGGCCTGCGTTCCTAGAATTCTCGCGTGCGCGGCTCGCGGAGTTGTTCTGAGGATGCCAAAAAAACAAAAGGCGCACATGAAACCAGGGCACCTCGGCGACCAAGGTTTTTAGAAACCTTGAACGAAACGGACGTCAACACATTGCGAACCGCATCTGGGCCCCCAAAGTTTTGGCGGCGTCTCAGACGAAGCGGGGTAGTGCGAGAATGTCCCAGGTGGAACGGACCAACCATTTCAAGTCTTCACGTCCTCCTCCACCTCCTCTTCCCCGTCCTCCTCCTCCTCCTCCTCCTCCTCCTCCTCCTCCTCCTCCTCCTCCTTCTTGCCCCGTGAGTGGGGGCCAGTGCCACACATTCCACGGGTTACATTTACATTGTCAGGAGGCATCCTCGCCTTGCCGTTGGTGGCGTCAGCAGCGTCCGTAGCACTGGAGTTGTTTTCCAGGCGCGGGGATCGCGCATTTGGTGGAGAGTTTGGGCCTTGCGGCCCGTGAGACCCATGGGACCTTGTGTCCAGTCCCCTTGGGGTACAAAACCAGTTGCGCGCGCCAGGTGTTTCGGCAGGGTTGAGGCCGCTTGAAGGTCCCCCTACGCAACAACCGTGACGTTTAGGCTGCGATTCGCCGGCGACGTGGTCACCCCTCTGTGCCCTGATTGGTTCGTGATTGAAACCACGTGCGTGGTTAGCGGCATGCTCCCACATGCTCCTCGTCCCCTTCCTCCGCTACGTCCTCACACACCTCCGCCCCTCAGTTGAACCTTCTGCCCACCGGCGCATTGCGCAGCTTCAGACCAGCGCCAAACAGACCCCCGAAACGAACCCCCCGCCATGCGAGTCTGCGCCGCCACGCGCGATTTACTCACGGAAGAGGCTCCCGCTCAGAATTTCTCCTTACTCAAGCTTGAGAAGTTCAAAAATGATGACACGCACGAGGATCCCGATGACCCGTTCGGATTACCAAGCCGACGCGCGTGCCCCATAGGGAAGGCGCTCCCGTTCGAGATTTCCTCCATATCCAGGCCACAGGAACCCACAAGTGACGAAAGTCACATGATTCCGGTGACCCGCTTCGGATTCGAACATAATGTGCGGGCCTCATACGGAACAGGTTCCCGCTCGAGACTTCCTCGCGATTCACTCACACAGGAAGCTCACGCTTGAGGTTTCTTCAAGATTCAGCCCCGAGGAGCACAAAAGTGACGACGACGACAGTTACATGATTCCCGCGACCCGTTTCGGATTCGAACATAAACTGCGGGCCTCACAGGGAGTGGGCTCCCATTTATTATTTCTTCGCGATTCACGCACAGAGGGGCTCCTGCCTGAAACTTTTTCAACTTTCAGTCTTGAGGAGTCCAATAGTGACGACAGTTACATGAAGCCAGTGACCCGCCACGGACTAGACGTGATGCGTGGGCCCCATACGGAGGGGGCTCCCGCTTGAGATTTCTTCGCAATTCACTCACGAACGGGGTTCCCGTTTGAGCGTTATGAACCCAACAGTGACGACAGTTGCCAGATTTGGATGAGCCGTTCGGATTCGAATATGAAGCGCGCGCCCTATAGGGAGGGGCTCCCGCCTGAGACTTCCTCGCGACCCATCCACCGGCGAAGCGTGGCGAAGCATGGCGAAAGCGACACATGCGTGATGATGGTGATGGTGATGGTGGGTGCAGGTAAGTGATGATGAGCTGTTGATGGTGATGGTGAGTGATGACGATGATGTTGGATTGTGACGATGATGCGGATGGCGATGCTGTAGATGCGATGGTGGTATTGGTGGGTGATGAGGATTGCGATGGCGATGATGTTGAAGGTGACGATAGTGATGATTATGATGTGTACATGATGATGGTAATGTTGATGATGGTGGTGAATGTGCGGGCGAATGTGATTGTTGATGTCGATGGATATGATCATGGTGATGCGGAAGAGGGGGTGTGGGATGATGACGCATTCATGACGATAACACGATAACGGGCGATGACCTGATGATGAGTGGGTGGGTGATGACTGGATGTGAACGCGTGAGTGAGAGTGAGTGTGAGTGGTTGATGATGATTGCCGATGGCCATGATGGGATCATGACATGATAATGAATGAGTGAGTGATGAAGGCGAATTGAGGTGATCACGGAAGTGTGGGAGCAAAGCGGGGGACGCCCGAACCGTGCGAAGGAGGGAGGAGGAGGAGAAGGAGGCTGGATGGATGGATGAGGGAGGAGGGGA